TGCCACTGGTATTAGGGATAATCCAATGCATTTGTTGCTTGGCATGAAAATATGATTTCCCATATTTTCCATGTGTAATAAGTAAAATATGTTCTTAGGGACAGACTATGTATTCAATCTCACTGCCCAGCATTTGATATCAGTAGTTTATTTTTCTTTACTTTTTTCTTGCTCTGAAGACAGCTACTCTTCAGTTCAATCCAGTAGCCTGTATGTATGAGAACCATTGACATAAAACTTGGAAAATGCTGATCTTTCATTATATTTGTTGCGTAGAGTGGCTGCCTCAGTTTGTCCATTGGTTAGGACAATCCTGCTGCATGATGCATTTTCAAGACTTGAACACTGGCAAAAGCTAGGTACTATTGTTGACTGGGAGGGAATCAGGGAATTGCATCACATCTTACATCTCTTCCAGTTGCTGACACTACATGCCAATTCCTGATTAGCAATGGGATATCAGACAGAACATTTGATACTGGATGCCATAGACCGCACATAATCCATCATTCATTTGAGGCTTATAATTGTGGCGTATGAATTACATCTACGTATATAAATTAAGAAGTCATAATATTTATTCATTAGTCCTGTACTTTTATTTCTCCCAATGATTTGATTCATCTAATTAACATATCAATTGATCTTCAAGCAGGCCTCACTTGCAGTATATACATGCATGGTCATTATGAAAACTAGATCTGGGCAAGTCCTCAAAGAAGTTCATTGGAAATAAAAACTCTGATGGGGTAGCAGGATCCTACTTTCTTCAGCAAGTTAGGTGTTCACTTCATTCAGTATTCTGCCTTCAAGTTTTTGTCAAAATGCAGTGGTGTAACTCCATAAAACAAAACACAATCTCATGGTATTTATAGTTAATTCATATATCTTTAACAAAAGTCTTATCTGTTCCCTTCCTTGATACATGGAATAGAGATGCAAAAGATATAGCATATGGGCTTCAGGACTCATGCAATGTCTCTTTTGTGGTGTAAAAACAGCAGGGCTCAAATAATTTGGTCTCTTTTTTAGCAGAAGCTTAAGCTAAAGGTTAAGAATAAAAAGTGCTCCTTTTAGAATCCCCTCATTGACACATAGAAAAAGCTTATACAATATGTACCATAGAAGTTCTGCAGATGTCTAGCAATTAAAAATTACCTTGGCACCCTGTAGACCAAAAATGTGATTACTGTTATGTGTAGAAGGGTTCTTTTCTCTGAGAGTATGAGCTAGTGAAGCATTCTTAGTGTTGTGTTGTGAAATAAGTTACTATACTGTCCATAAGTCCTTTACTTTATCATAGAATGATTCTTAAACAAAAACAACAAAGGATCTTTCTAACAAAGTCATCCTCATTGCCACCATTTTATTTTTCTGGAATATGTCAGTTAGATCTGAATATTGTTCTTTTGAAGCTTAAAGTCAATACCAAGTCACAATCAGACTATATTTCTAACATCTGAGATTTGCTTATACTAGAAATAGTTTACGTTTTTTAAAATAAGCTCTGGAATTTAAATCTCAAGTAAACAGTTTCCAGATTTACGTTGTCATAGATAAACAAGTACCTCAAGATAATGGAAACAAATGAAATGAGGAACAAATGGAAACATTCTTTGAGGGAAATGGGTGGTTCAAAAATATTATTTATTTATATATATATATGTATGTATGTATGTATGTATGTATGTATGTATGTATGTATGTGTGTATATCTATATGTATATCTATCTATCTATCTATCTATCTATCTATCTATCTATCTATCTATCTATCTATCTATCTATATTTTCTGAGGTTCGTTCAAACTCGAAGCCAAACAAGATCACAGCTCACCAGCTCAAATCCCCCAGCAACTAAGACTAACCTGAGCACAACCAAGCCCCCACCTGAACAGAACACACCTCCAGCCAATCAGAACACGGCCAAGCCCCCAACCAATCAGAACACAGCCAAACCCCCAACCAATGAGAACACACCCGCACCCAATCAGAACACAGCCAAGCCCCCACCCAATCAAGTCACACCCCCACTAGCAGTTAAAAGGAAGAAGCAGCTGCAAGTTCACATCACTCTGAGAAGCACAGAGCTGAAGACACAAGCCTGAAGATGATGAATGAGACTTCATCGAAACGTTGCCTAGATACTTCCAATCTTACGCGGGAGAAAACCCGAATAACCAAAGATCCACACACACACACACACACACACACACACACGTTTTCTTAAGTTTTTGCGGGTATCTATATGTATGGTATTCAGTTTTGTTCGGGTATTTTCCCATGTCATTATAGTTGTGCTTTTAAAGTTGTAGTGATGTTTCGGCAGAATCTCATCTGCCATCATCAGGCTTGTGTATTGTGTTCATCTGTGAGTCAGGCTTTCACAGCCGTTTCTGTTTTAAATTTGGGGCTAGCCTACTGCTGTTAGAATGGTTTTTTCTTCATCCTGATTGGTTGGGAGTCTTGGTCTGTGTTTATTGGTCTTGCAGTTTGCTCTGTTCTCCTTGATTGGTGTTTCTACTATCTTCTGTCTGTTTTGCAGCATTTTTTGATTGGCTGGCAACATTGTGTTTCCTGTATTGGAGGCTTTTAGTGTGGCTTGGCTTCAGGTAAAAGGACGGCTATCATTTATTAGGAAGCTAGGTTTCATCTGGGTGCCTGGGTGGGGTGTGTTTGAGCTGGAGGTATCAGGTGGGGTCTGTTTGTGCCCAGGTGTTTGCTTGGCTTGTGGTGTGGAGATTTTTTTATTTGTGAGTGCAGGCTTCCAGATAATTGACAGTCTGGTGGAGTCAACTCTTCTATTCATGCTTTCAGGTCTTTTTTCAATCTCTATGGCTTCTCTGATAATTCTGTAGCTGGGGTTTTCTATAGTGGCTAGGGTTTTGGTGCCATTGAAGTCGATGCTATGACCTGTGGCTTTCATGTGTTGGACTAGTGAGGAAGTATATTCCAGCTTTTTTACTGCATTTTTGTGTTCATCTAGGCGGGTACTTATTCTTCTATTGGTCTGTCCAATGTATGTGGCAGGGCGTGATGCACAGGGGACTTCATATATGTCTTGGTTTTCCAGGTCAATCTTATCTTTGGGGTTTCTTAAGATGGCTGCTATTTTTCGGTCTGTTTTGAAGGCAGTCTTGATGTGATGCCTGTGTAGTATCTTACTGATTTTGTCTGTAGTACCTCTTATGTAGGGCAGGACAGCTGTTCCATAGTTTAGACATTCTGCAAATAAGTAAGTTCAAGAGTCTTGCTTACAAATGTAAACTTTGGTTCAATTTAATTCTAGCTAAAATATTGCACTTTTGTAAATAGTGCATTATAAAACATTTGTGTAATCATCTTTAGTATATGATGATTCAAATTCAAGCTGCAGTTCTTCCCACTGAAAGGAACTTTATTTTGTCATTTTGTATCTGATATTTTCAAAATGATGCCTGATGTGTATAAATACCAATTTAGCTGACCTCAGAAGAATCAGAGGTCAAGGTGGTTAAATGAAGAACCCAATTTAAATATTTTCTTGCATTGTTGACTCCGAGCTTTATTTGCAACCCTGGAAAAATTAATTTCTTGCAAAACATTGTGAATTATCCCCAAATGCCAATATGAATGTCTGCCACCACATAACTACATCTGGCAACAATGAAGACAAATTAACAAGGAGAGCCAGAAAATCTGGCAATTGGATAAACTAAAGCATGAAAAATCTATTCTGCAGTTGAGACCACCAGTATCTGATAATAGATTAACTTTCTGTCTCTAAAGCTAAATTAAAGAGGGAAATTATACTGCAATATGGATACCAGGTTCCTTGATAGGGAAAAAAAAACCCATGGCTTCTTTGACATTGCTAGATGGGGTGGTGCAAATGGGGGAACTCTTCTTCCGCATTTGAAATATATGGCTAAGAGTTCTGTATAAACAGCTGCTTTCAATTTTGCTTCGAAAGGCTCTTGACAACGACACTGTATATAAACTTGCATTTCCAAAGTGAATGGGTTGGGTGGGGGAGGCAGCATTGTAATATTAGTCCATAGGGACATATGGGTCTCAAGCATATTGCTGACATGGGGATTAACAGTTTGCAAGAGCCTAGACTACTACTGTATCAAGTAGATGGAACTGTTTTTAATCTACCCTTAATTACCCCAAAGCATTACTTTTTGATTTCTAACCAGAGAGACAAATCCTAATCCTTGATTTAAAACAATGATTAAGGGAGTTTTCTTGAGGGGAGAAGGGAGAGAAAGGGAAAACAGGACATCGTTCTAGTTTAAGTTAGAGTGGAAGACAATGCACTTTCCAGTTTAATTTTGAAATAAATTTATGAGAACTGAGTAATTTCTGAGTTAAAAATGGAATCTTTTCACATTAATCTGAGTTCGTTCAATTAATGCAAAATAAATTAAAAATACATAAGCTCAGCCTTCTGCAGAAATATTTCATAAAAAATATTTTGACATAGTATGATGAACTCAGAACACCTGAAAGCAATATCTAAAATTTTAATCTCTGTAATGAGAATTGTTCTTAATGAAATTGATCAAAAGAACAAAATCTCAGCTTTGTTTTCATTTAAAAAGTTAATAAAGTCAACTTTTTAAATCCTGATATCAGGGTTTCAAATAAATGGCTGGACCAAAATATTACTGCTTCCTAGTACTTTGTGAATCAACTATTATCAACCTAGTACTTTGTGAATCAACTATTATCAACTCTTTATTATCACTAATAAAGAGAAAAAAAGTCAATCTGGTATTGAAATGCTGTGATTTTTCCTTAGCACAAACAGGATTAGATTATGCTACAGAAAAATTAGCAGTACCATTATAACTTAAAATATCAACATCATTATAACCATGGATTTGGAAGGTACAAGATCAGTGAAACTATGGTTTCTTTTATGTTTACCAAAGCAGTGCAGTAGGATAGTGGAATTAAAACTACAAACTTCAGCAGCCTTTGTTTCATCAGCCATGTCCTAAAGATGATTCAACACTCTCTAATCGCCATTTGAAGTTTTAATTCAAATGGCTATATCATGTTTTTTTTTAAAAAAATATAAATACTCACCCACAATTTCTGCAAAATGCAGCAGCTATCTTTCCAGCAATTGTCCTTTTCAGAGAGAGATATTCTCCCTCATATCACACATTAAATTCTTAAGAGTGCATGGCTTCCCTAACATCAGATGCTGCCTTATATTTCATAATCCAACATTTCCATCTGTACAGCACAATTCATACATACATCTTCACAGGTATGTGCAACTGAAATAAACTATTTTAGGATAAGGATGTATAGGAATATGGACCAGCCCAGAAGTCTTCTTTTACTAGTTACAACAATCTAGGGGTATCAGGTGGTCAGTACAAGATCTCAAATGGATGTTTTCCCCATATTTCTTGTTAATGATCAAACTTACAAAGTCAACACTGGGTTGTACTGAATGCAGTATTTAAGTGGCTTGTGAAAAACAAGAGTACATTACTCCTAAAGATAGGCAGACTCGGGACAAGCAGGGCCAAAACAAAGCTAAATGTGACCAGGATTTTCATCTATTAAAAGATAACCTAGAAATGCAATTTGAATTACTGGAATGGATAAAGTATAATTTGGAATTGCTATTAATTCAATTTGATACTGACAATACATACTAACTAGAACTGGAATGTCTATGGGCAATAAGAAGTTTTCAAGTGCATTTTTGCATATATGCAAAACATCTTTGCAAAACATCTTTTCTGACATGGGCAATGTTCACCACAGTACAGGTGAAACTTGCAAAAAAGATGCAGCTTCCTCCTTCCCCTGAATATGATCTTGCCTCTATGTGTTTGTTATCAGTGCTATTTAATGCAGAAATCAACAAAAATAATAAACATTGTCAGGTATTAATCTGTTAACCATCCATAATTTTGAACAGCTTCTTAAATCACACAAAAGCATATGAATTGGTATTAGTTTAAAACATCTATTTGAATAAAATGAAGTCTGTGTCAGTAACAAATGCATAGTTATTATTGACACCATTAATTTACAAAAATACAGTTTGGTTAAACAAAACTATACACATCAGAAATACAAGGTATGTATAATCTTCCTGATATAATACATTTTGCAAATAAAACTGCATCTGTATAAAAATCATAAATCTCTTTTAAAGTACAAGAAGTTTCTTTTTAAATAATGTTCACTTTGAGGTAGTAGAGTTCTTGGTTCATGAGCTGATTTTGGGCTGGCACTGATGGCAAACTATGTATCTAAGTCAAAAGATTGAAAAATAGAAGTCCTATAGTTTTCAGTTGATTGCCCACAAATAAAATTGCAATTGTCCACTTCAGGAAAGGTCCTACCCATTTTATTACAACCTTCAAACTCCAAGTCAAAATCCAATGATTCCTTAGAATAATGTTGGGAGGCTTTTGGCTGCAAAACTGAGGACTGCTTATAGCTTGGCAAAGAATCAATCTGAGGCTTCCATATAGGTTTTCCAAATGTTCCTAAAGAGATAGAGAAAACATTTATTATAAAAATGGACAAGCAAAATAAGTATCCACAAAATAGCCAACGATCAAGTCTATGTTAATATAAATTATACTTTTTCTAATTACTCAATTATTCTGTTTCAGACCTGTGTTCACATATTTGGGAGAAACAAAGCAAGACATTAATTTCCTATTCATCTTTCAAGATTTGGTGTCTTGTGCAAGTTAAAGAGAGATTTGAGTTCACATTTTTATGCAGTCATGAAGTTTAACAGATAGCCTTTGAAACCCGACAGGCTCACTGTAAGGCTCATTGAATGAGAATTCTCTCTCAATTTACTCTACTTCTAAGGATTATCAGAGGGATAATACTGGAAGGTAGTAAGACTTAATACTCTCTGAGTTCTTTCAAGAAAGAGCAAATAACATAGATGCTTGATGAATGAGACCTTTATTTCGTATGTGTAAGTTTTTTCAGTTACTACTATATAGGAAAATGGGACTTTTTCAATGAATACAGTAGTTAAGTCCTCATTTTTCAACTTTACTGCCTTATAACTTTATTGCTTGCATTCAAATGTAGTATGGCATAGCTTCTAGCTATCCCAATATGGAGACATGCTAAAAATATTTTAATGGGCATAGGCCACTAAGTGGTCAGCCCCTTTTTAGCAGAAAGGCAAACTCAATGTTTAGTTAACACATCCTGAAAGAATCTCTAAAGAAAATGTTTAATGGGTATGGAAGAGAACAGTTTTTCAAAAAGCAATTCTGTTTACTTAATTTCAATGTGGTTTTCTTCCCCATTACATGTATTTAGGATTTCTGGATTAGAAAACCATTAAAACATACCCACGAAAGTGGTGCTTGGTGTAACAGAAGATAGTTCTTGACTTCTCTTAAATTGACATGTGTCTACATTTAGATGTGAGCTTCTTATTCCATTCTCTTCATTTGGGGGATAAATAAAAGGAATCAACTGATTACTTGGCATGTGTATTCTAGAGATACAGAGGTATCGGTCAAAAAGATCTCCAGGTGAGTGGATATATGGGTAGCAGTCTTTTTTCTTCAAGCAGCTTGATGGAAATAATTAAAACACGTATATAATATAAATTACCTGTATGGTATGTTTCAAACATTTCTGCGCTACATAAATTTTCTTTTAAATGCAGGCTTCCTGAAGTTCCCAGATAATGGCAAAAGAATGGATCCATTACAGCTTCCAAGTCATTTTCACTACAACTATCCGTATGACAACATCCTTTGAAAGGGAGATGACATGTATCAGTCTCCTTTGATTTCAGATTTATTTTCAAACCAAAACATCTTTGTATGGTATTTCTCAACTCACTTAGTATATGTTCAAAGTTACGACATCCCTGCCAAAAGTACTGACAACCAGGTCCCAAAGTTATGTATGTTGCAGCACCACAGCGATTAGTCTTTCCAACTTCTTGTGAAAAAAAAAAGTTCTCACAAAGTTGGAAAGGCTGATTTTGCTTTTTTTTTTTATCACCAGAAACTTGCCCCATGAAGTTGCTTGGTCTCTCCTGCTCTGTGTTGGGGAAAGCGACAACTTTGGAGAAGTACCGAACCTGCCCAGATTTCACAAATCTTTGGAGGATTCTTCTATGGTTTCCCTGTGCAACTGGTTCCCAGTGGTTGGTGATGGTGTGGGGAGGAAAGGCTCAAGCAGCCTGGGACCCCAGGAGATGGGAAGAGGAGTATGGGATCTTTCAGGGGGTGGGGGTGGGGCTTTGGTGGCTGGATGCACTAGAGCCAGTACCACCCACTCCTGAGGTACTCCATGTGCTCTTAACAACCCAGCATTTGATTAACAAATGACTGGAGAGAGGAGCGATGGGGCTCCTTCATTTAATGAGTTCCAATTAATGAATTCTTGTATGTAACTGGCAGGTTCCATTACATTCGTAACTCGAGAATTACCTGTATAGAGAAACCTAACCAAATAGAAAGCAATGATTATCCTGAATATGCCGAGTTCCAGATTCTTTCAGCAGTTGCAATCTTAGTGGCTTCCAATTTTTTTAGTAAGACACACTCTCCATTCATTTATGATCACAAATTAAAACACTCTATTGATGGATATCAAATTGATTCTGCTGGGGATACCTGCAATCCTTAGATGCCTGCAAATCTTCCTAACTATCCAAGGCAACTCTTCAAAAAAAAAAATTTGAGGAATCTTTATTATGAGGGAAAGATACTGGAAAATAACATTATGCAAAAGAGTGTTTTATGTGACAAAAATCTAAAGTTATATTATGCTGAAATTCTAACTCAAAACTTGAAATAGACCAGTTTGGAGGCACTGCCTGCAACATAGTTGAAATATTCTTTCTCCAGATATGTGCATATATAGAGGGGGGAACCTCTCCTTCCTTTTTAAGCCATGGATAGACAAAACTATCCACATGAAATATAGCCACTTCCTGTTCCATGATGTGCTTCATAAGATCAATACTGAGAACACCGGTTTAAAAGTTTGGGGTTAGGTTAAATCTTTAGGGAAATTCTTGGAACATAAGCTCTGTTTCTTCTTTCACAACTGTGAAAAAACCAGAACTTTTCTGTTAACAGCAAGGCTTTAGCTAGTATTGCAGCTGAAAATACTGGACAGCAATCTGTGATTTTAGCATTATGGATTTTTGTTGAAAAACATGGCTCTAGGTGAAAACTAAAAATGAAATAATAAGCAGAGTAACAAGAATGTTCAAGTCATTTCCTGGAAGTGTTCTTCAGCTGGAAAAAGCTGTATATCAAGAAGATATACAGAATAGTGTCTAGTGTAAAACTAGAAATATCTGGACATATAATATTATGATGTCTTTGGGCCAAAATAGTCACAATCCTTCATTAAAACAATTGATGAGAAATTTAGAAATAGTAAAACTATTGGTTCTCCAATTTTTTTGATTAAAAAACAACAGTGATGGAATCTTAAATTGCAATTTTGTAGCACATTACATTGGAATGAATCCTCAAACACACATGAATAGCATAGAGCAGTTAAATCCTTACCGTTGCTTTCTCTCTGTTGAAAGAAATATCCACCCATGGGAGATGATTGTACAAAGCGATGCTGGCTTCCATTCTCTGATGACCCATATCCATCTTGTTTTTCAGCTAAAGTTCCTTGGGATGACAGATAGCTTGGAATATCTGCAGGTAAGTTTGTCTCATCTGTGATAATCAATATACGTGCACAAAACTATCAGTAGCTGAATTCTTTGAAGTATTTTGTATGAGCTACAGAAGAATGAGTTTCAAAAATGATTTAGGTTTCTGAATTTGAGTCAGAACACCCAAATATTTCTGCAAGGAAAACTTCAGGAGGGTAACCACAAACATCTTTGAGAATCTGTTCCAAATTTTAGTTTACTCACCTGTGTTTGTGACACTGCAATCTTCGTTTCTCCTTCTTGTGTGGTATATGATGACCACCCACACAAGGGAAGTGGCAACCACACAGCACACCACAGCTATGATCACTACTCCCACAGTAGCCCATCCATCATCATCGAGAGACAGGGCAGCATTTTGAGGAGAATCACAGGTAGGAGTAGGAATCACACTTAGGAGAATATTGCCTCTCTCGGTTCCAAGTGTGTTAGACATTTCACATGTATATTTCCCAGCATCTTCAAAGTCTGTGTCTACAATAATAAGCAACTGATTTCCCGCAGCAAAGAAATGCCTTTCTGTCACTGCTAATGTGCGATCATCTTTGGTCCAATTCAACCAAGGAGATGGGCTGCCCCCAGCAATACACTGCAAGACTGCTGTTTCACCTTTCATCACAGTTCGATCCAGCAACGGTCTCAAAAAGGAGGGTGTTTCTGAAAATGGATAAAAAGTCAGTAAACTCATAAAGTTCTCAGGCTGGAATCTTAATCATAAATTGCATAATTATGTGCAAATGTACTGAAAATAATAGATCAAATCTAATAAAGAAACACTATGTGTATTAAGCTGTATTTATTGCTGTCAAAAACAAAATGGTGAGCTATCAAATTACCAGTGTTCAGCTGAGAGACATGATATTCTTACCTAATACTGTTAATGTCGCATTTGCAGAAATACTTCCTGCAGTATTCTTAGCTGTGCAGCTGTAAACACCTGTATCCTCAATTTTGACATCCACAATAAAAAAGACATCATCCTCAGGCATCACATGCATGCGTCTCTTGCGGGCTGCAGGGAAGTCAGTACCACCATCCTTCTGCCAAGCAATCTGGGGCATGGGATGACCAACAGCAGCACACTCTAGCCGTGCTGTTGCCCCAGTGCGGATTGTAAGATCCATGGGCATCTTGGTAAACAATGGAAACACTATAAGAAAGAATAAATCTATATATTGGGAGTGGTTCCAATGAAGATTTGTCATGAATTCTTTCAGGGAAGGTCAAAAGAATAGAATAAAAAGTCTTGTTTCTCAAGCCATTTTTCTGTATCTTGTGGCTTTGAATCAGTCTTGATTCCTGGTAGTTGCCTAGACAAGTACACATGACCTTCTTGGCAATATTTTTGGAAGTGGTTTGCCCTTTTTGCTAGGGCTGAGTAAGCATGACTGTCCCAAAGTCATCTAGCTGGCTTCATGCCGAAGGTAGGACTGAAACTAGCAGTTTCTGGTTTTTAGCCTAGTGTCTTACTACACTGGAACTTAACTTTATAAATTTGCTGACAATTTGTTGATTTACTTATTGATTTTTAATTATTTATCATTTTTAATATTTATTGTGAACTTTTTAGAGAAAACTAATGCTAGGAAAAAAAAACAGGTTTATAGTCTTAAAAATGAAAACAAATATATATCTGGTAAAATCCCCAGGGAGACCATTTTAGTGAGGATGTCACCTCTGAGAACCTTCTTGTTGCCACCTGTTTTTTTTTTCCAATTCATAGGGTTCCTTGAGAAGACCCACCCATCATAGAAGCAGATATAAAGATTAAAATGTTTTTATATAACTCCATTCTCAGTTATAAAGAACCTCATTTAATTCTGTCAGGAGAGCAGAAGCATAAGAGCTCATAAAGAAACCCTTGGTCCTCATTATCAATTGAGCATCTATATTCTAACTAGATATTTCCAGATGGCCTTGAAATATAGTTTTAGTATTAATAAATTCCCAGAGCAGGGATCTGCAACCGTAAACACTCAAAGAGCCATTTGGACCTGTTTCCCACAGAAAAGAAAACACTGGGAGATAATAATTTAACAACTGGTGTGACTGGGTGGGCGTGGCCAACTTGACATCACTCACGCCCACTCAGTCACCTCCTGCTCTGGAATAGGGAGCGAGTCTCCATCCCCCGCCATCACCCTTACTTTCTCAGGCCAGGCAAAGAGTGATGGGGAGGGGGGGGAGGGGACAACCAGTGGTGGGATCAGCCAACAGGGAGCCGCAGCAAAGGGCCGAAAGAGCCGCATGTGGCTCTAGAGCTGCAGGGTGCAGACCCGTCCCAGAGGTTTCCACATGTTGTTGAATACTTTACAGAAACTACAGCTAGAATAGCCAAACATCGGGAATGATGGGAGCTATAATATGAGGCGCTCTAGTTATTTTACCTACAAATTGCAGCAATCTAAACAGAGGCTTGTAGGTATAAATAACTGTGATTAAAATGAAAAGCAGGATTTACTCTTTTAAAGTTCTTCAATAAAACTTCAGCAAAAAGATCAATTTATTTTCTCATGTATTCATACAGCCAGCTAATATGTGTTCAATATCTATTAAATATGCTAAGCAAAACCTTTCAGAAGGAATGCTATATCATACATTTTATTTTAATATGTAAGTATATTGTAAATGCTTACTGTTCACTGTAAGTTTTGCCTTGACAGAGTACGATGAGCCAAAGTGATTGGATATAACACACTGGTATTTTCCTTCATTACTGAATTCAACATTGTGCAGCCTAAGGATGGTGGTGTACTCCATCACTTCACCACTGTGTGCCCTAAGGTGGGCATAATTCTCCATTTCAGCATCACCTATTAATTCATTATCCTTTTTCCATGCAAAAGTCATCTGGGAATCACTGCTACTGGCTGCTGAACAAATAAAACTTAAATTGGAGCCTTTGACTGCTGACTGAGTTTCAGGTTGGACAGTTATCTGTGGCTTGGGAAAATCATCTATTAAAAAAGAGCAAAAAAAAAAAGAGTAGCATGAAGATCACACAATTTCTTGTCCATCAGAAAAAGTGAGAGATCAGACTAAAAACTTATTAGTTCTTATTAGCACATATTTTTAAAAACCAGTTCTTTTACTAATCTTTGTCTAATTCAGTCTTCTATAATTTGGTTGGGACGGATGCTTATTTTGGGGTTCAAAAAATATAAGACAGGGTCTTATTTTCAGGGAAACATGTTAATAGGCAAGATTTCTGCCTATAGGTGCCATGGTGGCTCATGTGGTAAGATGCTGGGCCTGCGCACTGCTGAGGTCGACAGCTCGGCGTCTCAATTCTTGTGAGCGAATAAACCACGGAGGGACAAGAAAGGAGCTTCCTCCGATTGCCTACTGGCATCCAGGCGTTCTGTGGGTAAAGATAACACCGTCTGAAAAAATTCCTTTCACAGAGGCAGCCAGCCACCTCAGTGATCCCTGGCTAAAAAGACGCCATATAATAAATAAATAAATAAATAAATCTGCTTATAGGTGAGGAACAATAAAGAAAACTGCTTAAAAGTTCAGGATGACTTTCTTGATTTTTGATATTTGTATAATGCTTTAGCTTTAACTTTAATTAAATTTAAATTTAGCTTTCGCTTTAAATGGTCACTGAACAAATGATTGCCTGTAAGTGGGATTTATTGTAGTTCTGAAATGACTTGTAATGATTTTCAGATTTTCTTAATCATTACTTATCACTTTAAAGATATGGTAAGATTACAACTCTAATAAATACATAATAATCCTGTATGAATGCTAAACATACCTATAGGCAACTCTTAGTACAAGAAGAGTGATTCTTTCATACCATTTTTTAAAACTGTAAGGATAGTGACAGGTACACTGGCCCAAGTGGAAGCAAATGATGACTTCTGTTTTATATCTGTTTTATCAGTCATATTCCAGGATAGCATGCAAATTCTTTGATAAATCAATTACAGTGTTTTTATTTAGCTAGCATGGCATGTTTCAATACTGATTTTTAGTTCTTAATTTTCTGAGTAATTGCCTTTGCATCTAAAATTGATTACCTCTGTGTAGCTGTGAGTTGTACAAGTTACATCCATTTTGAATTATAAGGATAAGAGAATGTGTACCTGTAAGTATGTTTCATCTTTGTTAAAATGAATATTTTATTTTTATTTTTTCAGCTATCACCTCTTAAAAATCCCTCTCTAACCTGGCATGTTAAATTAGTATTTAAAACCACATACACATCATTATTTACACTGTGTTTAGAAAGGCATGTGGCATTTTTCCTGTTGACCAATCATAATAATGAATGCAAGAATGAGTATTTGAATTAAGGTTATTTAACTGCAAGACCTAAAAACTAAGCAGCACACATGTTATAGTTGGTTGCAACTATATGTCATAGAGATTTTCTGTTGAAACATTAAAATGATAACTGGGATATGAAGATCAAAAATATGTTTATTCAATTCTTTACATTTGGTTAGCCTAGTAAAGAAAACTGAAGTTTGTCCAATTCCTGAAGCATATGGCACAGTAATATTAATTCAAATAGTAACTCTTCCAAATGGCATACTAGAAATTTATTTTAAAACTATTAAGAAGCCAGGTGCTGCAGATTCTATTAGCAAGTATCTTTTTATATATAAGGCATGAAGTGCTACAATTGGATGCTTAGCAGTTGGTTACCTCTACTTTAGTTCAACTGAAAATTATGAACAGTGTAGTAGAATATTATATATAAATTACTCTGCCTCTTCTTTCAATAGAGTTTTAAACTGTTGGAGATGGTAAATCACACTTAAATCTGGTGCATAGGTAGTAAAACTATTATTTCCCTTTTTAATAAATTTTATTAAATTTTCACCTTTAAAAACAAATTCTATATACATTTTTTGCAGTTGTTTGTGACATCAGTTATTCCATTCTCCTGTACATACACACACACACACACACACACACACACACACACACACACACTATTTACAATTACACTTTAACACTTCTATTTTTGCATTATATTTTCTTTCTGTTATCTAACCAGATATACCATTTTTCCCAGGCCGTATAATATTTTAGTCAATCTCGCTGGTGCTAGATGCCAACGATAAAACATTTTGTACAAATTTTCTTTATATGAGGCTGGCAATGTTAATTTATATTTTTGGTCCATAATCTTTCCCAATCTTCTAATTGTATATTGTATCCAAAAATTTTCATCTAGTTGGTTTCACTGCCTCCTCTTCTCTATCGAATTTTAAAAGATAATTATACATTTTAGTTATAAACTTTTCTTCTGATCCTAATAATATTTTATCTAATTGTTGTGGCATTCTATCTATGCCAAATTCTTCTACATCTTTTTTGTATTTTGTTTGCAGTTGTAGATAAGGCCACCAATCTATCCCTATCTCTTTCCAATCTATTTTACTCTTTCCATTCTTGGTTTGTCTTCAGGATGTCCTGATCATCTAATAATTGGCTATATCTAATCATTTTATTAATATCCAAAGTATTTGGGTAGATCATAGCTTCCATAGTGGAAAACCAGCCTGGTATTTTAATGTAATGTTTTTCCTGATTCTATTCCAGATCTCTAATAGTGCCTCTCTTATTCCATGATTTAGGAAGTGTGAACTTGTCTTATTTCTCTTCTCCCAACCAATGCCAACCAATTTGTAAATCATGTCCTTCAAGAGTTAATAGCCTCTTATTGCTTAGGACAATCCATTCTTTGATCCAAATTAGTGCTGCTGCCTGTTGGCATAATTCCCATTCCGGAAGTCCAAAGTCCATTTATATCTATTCTCTTGCAATAATTTTAACCTTATGCAGGGTTTTTTCCCTTCCCATATAAATTTAGTCACCACCCTATTCAGTTCCCCAAAACCTTTTTTATTTAATTTTATAGGAACCATCTGAAGTAGACATAGCCACCTTGGTAATAGGTTCATTTTTATTGCTGCAATCTTTCCTACTAGGAATAGCTGTAAGTTACTCCATATTTCTAAATCTTTTTCTGTTTGACTCATTAATTCATCATAATTATCCTCTTTTAATGACAAATATCTTGATGTCAACCAAATACCTAAATATTTAATCTTATTCGAAGTTTGCAGTTCTATTTCCTTTTTTAGTTCTCTACTTCATGGTCTGTCAAATTTTTAATTAACATTTTAGTTTTAGTTTTGTTGATCTTAAGTCCTGTTACTGTGCCACATTCTTCTATTTCTTTTAATAGGATTTTCCCACTCTCATTTGGATTTTCTATGAAGAATACCATATTGTCCACAAATGCTTGTATTTTGTATTCTTCCTTCTTTATTTTAGTTCCTATAATTTCCCCATTCTTCCTAATTTGTGTTAACAAGATTTCTATTGCGAGAATAAAGATCAAAGCTGACATTGGACATCCCTGTCTCACTCCTTTTGCTATATTGAGTCTTTCGTTAAAATCACCATTAATCATTACACTTGCTTTCTGGTTGGAATAGATTTCCACTATAATCTTTTCAAATTTTGGTCTAAATTTCATCTCTGTTATTTGCTGTAATCCCCCCCCCCCAATTTAGATTATCAAAGGCTTTCTGTGCATCCAGAAAAATTAGCGCTTAAATCTGGTGCATAGGTAGTAAAACCATTATTTCCCCTTTTTTATTAACTTGATCTCTTCCTTTAATGAAAGAATGATGGATATATTAAAAAAGAAACAAAAGCAAAGCTGCAACGTTTAGTCTCTTGATTCAAATACTATTTTTCTTTTAAAAACTAGAACATATATGAGGAACTTCAGCATCTGAGTCCAATATGCTTGGCACTGATTTTCTAATAGAGAACAAACTCACTTGGAAATGAACCGGATAAATTTGGAGAGAATTTCTTTTAAGGGGAAAATGGACAGGGATTTTGGAGCGCTATTCAGGATTCTCAAACATTTCTAGATTTGTGGAGATGTGCTGTTTTATTGACCTATTGTTTTCTCCCTGATAATGAATTGCTGTACCAAACTATCCTACTGTAAGGGCCAGTCAAAGATAACAATAAAGATATTTAACTAGTTGTGAAGAAGAGGAGATTGGGTCTTAATAATTAAGATTGGGTCTTAATCTATTACTTAAAGATATTTCACAACTGAAAAAGTCACAGTATTTGCATTTGAGAATATTAAACATGCATCAATTTAAACATATTAAACTACATTTCTTACCTAACAAATACATGTATTTTATGACCATAGTATATACCGTATATTAGCAACCTCCATTCACTGTTAGAAATATGCATACATGATCAATAACATCATGTGATTCCCAATCTGAAATCACATATTGTAATATATGCAGTTCAAATCAAATCAAACCTTTGTTGTCAATGCACATGAGTACAATGAAATTGAATGACCCTCCCTTGGTGCAGCCCCCCCCAATACAAAATACAGCTCAATAACCCAATAAATGAAAAATAGAAATTCCTAAACCCAAATAAATAATAACTAACACACATTCCCATATACCTTTATGTATGTAACATTATATTCTATTACACTGGTATGAACATATTGCACGTTGTGCTGGCCCTGCAAGTCTATCATGTTAAACCTAATTGTGGTGTTATGTTGCATCCAGAAGTCTAACAGCCCATGGATAAAAACTATTTTTCACCTATTCGTACGGCTGGCTATGCTTCTATATCTCCTGCCCGATGGTACGAGAGTAAAGAAGTGCTGACCAGGGTATGAATCATCCTGAGGATTTTTCTCACTCTGCTGAGGCAGCGGATGTCAGGGGACAGCCCATAATTTTTTGTGCTGTGGTCATCACCCTCTGTAATATCTTTTTATCCACGGCGGTCAAGCCAGCATACCATACCGTAACACAATATGTAAAAACACATTCTATCATAGACCGGTAAAAGGAACTCATCAATTGTTGTTCCACCTGATTTTTCTGCAAGACCCTAAAGAAATGGAGTCTCTATTGAGCCTTCCTGACCACCTGGATAGTGTTATTTTTCCAGGTGAGATCTTGGCTAAGATGGACTCCCAGGAATTTGAAAGAGGAGACCGTCTATAGACTAGTTTTTGCCCACTCACTCCATTATAACACCAGGAAGTCAAAGCCACAGTGTCTATGCACGCTGCCATCTTAGATGGGGGAAAAAAGTTCAGAGTTAGAAGAAAAAGAACATCCTACACGCACATATAGTGAAAGAGAATTATAAAACATTAAAGATAAATCTTGTTAATTTTTTCAATTAACTACCAAATTTTACAATCCTGATAAGAGTTAAAAAGGATAGTTTTTAAATAGGATAAGTTTTAAATAGCAAACGTACCACATACAAAACCTTCTAGGCTGACAGAAAAAACATCTCTTCCTTTTAATGCCTGAGGATGAGCACATGTGGCATTTACAAAAGTCTGGAATTTATTCTCTATTAGCCACTCAGGTAGCCATTTCAGCTGGCAATCGCACAAAAGGCTTGATGTGTTTATATATCTGGAAAAAAAACAGGAAACACATTAGAAACATAAGAAAAACAGATCTACATCTGAAGGAAACAATATTAAAACGAATCTTGAGGATCAGCAACAAACTGGTGCCCAACATCTTGTTCTATAATAACATATCAAGACAGTAACAAGTAACTCTCACATGAAAGTCTTCCTACCGAGGTTCCAAATAACCAGATTTGCATTCTTTAATAACATATGTTGTTGTACAGGATCTCAAATTCAAAGTGATAAAAGTGATTGAAAGCTTGTTCAGTATGAAGTCTTAAAGATATTGTTGCCTGAATTCCATTAAACACGTGCTTTTTTCATGGTTTCAGAACAAGAAGTCCATTTTCCCTTTTTGATTCGATATCGGGGTATTTTCCAGTGTGAGAACTAGACCTCACAGTTCTTTTCAGAAGTTAGCAACCTCGTGTGTCCCTCCCTCCCCCCCAATTACATTGTGTCTTAATAAATGGAAAGACTCCTCCAAATTAACCTGAATGTGGTAACTTCATGAAAACATCCATGTGATTTTTTTGGGGGAAGAGGGGGAATAATACAGATGTGGCTCACCACTGCCTCCTTCTGGGAGTTGCTCCAACTGCCTGGTTCCCATCTCTCACTTTGTGATTTTCTTTTTATTATTATTATTAAAGTTTTTTATTTTATATTTACAATAAATTCATCTGTCATTTAACCAGTGTGTCAACTGGGTACATATATCTTGTGCCAACAATTATAATTAATACTTTTCTTACCAATATAACAATAATAACAATTTCTGTATATGCCATTATTACTTACACCTATTATCTTTATAACAATCTTAACTTGTTTCTCTATATATTCATCTACTCAATTTTAACTTTTTTTATTTTCCAACCATTGATAGAATAGATCCCATACCACATGATATTCAATTTCTTCTTTTTCTTGAATTGCCAATGTTAATCTATTCATCTCTGCACATTCTAATAATTTCTCAATCACCTTTCCCTCTACCGGATTTTTTTCACTTTTCTAATTCTGAGCAAATACAATTCTAGCTGTAGTTAATACATGAATAATCAAATATACTTTTTCTTTGCTATAACATTCAGGTACCATCCCTAATAAAAAATATTTCAGGTTTCAGATCTATATGTTGCTTTATCATTTTTTCCAACCATGTGTGGATTTTTGTCCAATATCTTTTAGCTTCTATACATGTCCACCACATATGGTAATATGATCCAGGTGTCTGATGACACTTCCAACATTTAGCTGATTTGTCTTTAAACATCATGGCCAATTTTGCTAGTGCAAAGTGCCATCTATAAAACATCTTGTACAAATTTTCTTTATATGCTGTCGATATTGTTAATTTATAATTTCTTTCCCATAATTTCTGCCATCTATCTAGTTCTATAGTATACCCGAAATTTTTTGCCCATGCTATCATCGTTTCCTTTACTTGTTTTTCTTCTAGTTTAACACCGTCAATCACAATAATTTTTTTTAATCAGTTTGTCTTCCGTTCCTGTTAATATTTTGTCCAATTCTGTCAACTCCTTATAAATACCTTCTGCTTTAACATCTTTTTCATATCTTGATTGTATTTGCATATATGAATACTAATGCATATCAACCACTTGTTCATCCAATTCTTATTTAGTTTTCAGCTTACCCTTTTCATTCAATATATCCTTATATCTAATAATAGTTCCCTTTTTACAAACATCTGGATGTATAAGTGCTTCCATTGTTGATAACCAGACTGGAATTTTCAAATAATGCTGTTCTCTAGTTTTTTCTCACATTAGCAATAAAGCATTCCCGACATAATGTATTTGAAAATATCCGTGTCCCTTTCATATTACTTTTATCGGATTATGATCTGCCCAGATATTTGCTTCAATACGTATTCCTTGTATATTAGAAATTAAGTCTGTTGATGCCCACATCATATCAATCCCAGACCAAGACAGATGTTTATTTGAATAAAATGTATATTGATTATTTTTTGGGTGTATTTCTCGCCATGCATCTTGGATTGTTAATTCTTCCATCATCTTCCGTCATATTTGAGGGGCTGCCACAGAGAGGAAGGGATGAATCTATTTTCTAAAGCGCCTGTAGGCCAGACAAGGAATAACGGATGGAAATTGAACAAGGAGAGATTTAACCTGAAAATAAGGAGAAACTTTCTGACAGTGAGAACAATCAACCAATGAAACAGCTTGCCTTTGGAAATTGTGGGAGTGTTTTCACTTGTGAATTTCAAGAAGAGATTGGATTGCCATTTGTCAGAAATGGCGTAGGGACTCATACACTTGGGTGGGGGGGTTGGACTAGATGACCTACAAGGTCCCTTCCAACTCTGATTATCTGTTATCTGTTATCCTGAAGAAGGATTTTGGTAATGTTTTCCTGGTTTTTTTTGTCTTTGTGTTTTATAGTCCATTTCCATATCCACTATTGCATTGTAATCTTCTAAGATGCATATACTTTCATATTCAAATTCCATTATTTTCTTATGTAAGTTGTGGTAAAATTCTTCTTGTTTTTCATTTGGTGCATATATTGCCACTAGTAGCAATTCTGTTTGCAATTCATCGTCATTTCCATCATTAACACCCTCCCCTCATGATCTTGAAAGATTTGTTTAGTTTTTATTGTATCTTTAATATATAATGCTACTCCTCTTTTACTTTGTTGTGCTAGGGAGGTGTAGCTTCCCATTTTTAGGATAGTCCAATACTTTATTATGTTGTTTTTTAATATGCACCTCCTGTAAGCAAATTATATCCAGTTTTAGTTTCTCTAATGTATTAAAGATCCTTTTTCTTTTTATTGCCGAGTTCAGTCTATTTATGTTAATTGACATTAACTTTATTTCTTCTTCCATGTCTTTATTTATAATAAGGTTTTGTTGCTCGTTGTTCTTATCTCTCTTGCTTCCTTTGGTCTAACTTCTCTTATCGCTCTCTCTTCTTGTTCTCTTTCCTCTCTTTGTCATCCATCTCTCTCTGTCTTGCCACTTCTTCACGATGTCTAATTTCCCTCATTTTCTCTCCCTCTTGCTCTCTAAAGTAATGGTCTTAAAATTGCTCCGCTTTCTCTATAGAATCTAACTTGTGTCTCTATTCCTGCCATGTTACCATTATTTCCTGTGGTATCAGCCATCTAAAATTAATCCCTCTTTTGATTAAACACTTTGTCACAAATTGATATTCCCTCCTTAAATCTCTGACTTTCCTTGGTATTTGCTTCAAAACTGTTATTCCTTTCCCTTTATATTTCAATGGATTATCTCTCGCTTTCTTTAGGTTTTCTGTTCTTACAGCTTTCTTAGTGAATCTAATATGTACCTCTCTTGGTAATTTGTTCCTCAATGCATATCTGGTCTGGACTCTAAATATTTCATCTATATCAGCCATCTCTTTTTTTTTAGTCACTTCCAAGGCCCCTGCCAACAAATCTGCCATTATTTCTGCTAAATTTTCTCCCTTTTCTTCCTCGATATTTTGAAATCTTAGATAATAATCATCACAGTCCATCTCCACCCAGATAATTTTGTGATTTTCTGATGTAAATACAAGTCTAGATCTAATTTTTTTAAAAGCTTAGCATAGGTCTCATAAGTAGTGTAATCTTAGATAAACTCAGTTATTATTGGGTATTTTTAACTACTGTATTTTTTGCTCCTCCCCACCCCAAAAAAGTGGGTGGAAATGTATATGCGTCTTATGGAGTGAAAAATACGGGCCGAAGCAGCGGGGTCCTTTTACATTGCTGAACCCTGCCTCTTCTGTTTTTGTCATTGCCCATTTTCTTCCTCTAAACCGAGGTGAGTCATATGGTCAGATGCGTCTTATAGTGTGAAAAATACAGTAAGTGAAAGCTGTGTTGGAGGAAAGGCAGATACTTACAATTCTTTAAGATTCTTCATTTGTAAAAATGTGTTTCCTTGAATTGACATTATTGCATTATTACTTAGATCTCTATAGGAGAAAAAAATAATGCAGATCAACTTAGGACAAATTCTATACCAAAAAGGGGAAAAAGTATCTCATTGTACATACAACAATTGCACATACAACATTGCACATACAACAATTTAGTAATATTTCTGGATAAAAAAATAACATTGGGTAAGGGATATTTTTTGATGAATTAAAAAAAAGAGATTTCCATTTAAAAAAAACTGTACATGTATCTGAATTTTTAAGAAATACAGATAGTCCTCGACTTACAACAGTTCATTTAGTGATTGTTCAAAGTTACAATGGCACTGAAAAGGTGACTTATGGCAGTTTTTCACACTTATGACCATTGCAGTATCCCCTTGGTCATGTGATCAAAATTCAGAAGCTTGGCAACTGACTCATATTTATGAAGGTTGCAGTGTCCTGGGGTCATATGATCATCTTTTACAAGCTTCTGACAAGCAAAGTCAATGGGGAAGCTAGATTCACTTAACTGTGTTACTAACTTAACTGCTATGATTTACTTAACTGCGGCAAGAATGATCATAAAATGGGGCAAAACTCACTTAACAAATAAATTTAGCAAGATAAATTTGGGACTCAATTGTGGTTGTAAATCAAAGACTACCTGTTTGGCCTAAGGAGAGAGAGAGGAAGAAAGAAAGGAATGATTAAAAAGGAAGAGATCTTAACTTCACTTTGTGTGTCAGTTTTCATTTTCATTTTCTTTTTAAAGCCCTTTTTAATTCTTTAAAGTCTATCCTGTTGAGGATCAAAGTTAAAAGATGATTGATGTGCTTCCTAAAACGACAGCAGCTTGTTCTAATGTTTAAAAAGACCAGCATTCCTACAACTATGGTAGATAGTTTGGTAAACCAAGAAGTTCTTCCTGGAATTTCCTGGACCATATGACTATGCAATGTCATAAAGAAGTCAATACTTCAAAGAAACTACTGCTCCAGGTATATTTGGATTTCCTAAAAGCTCCAAAAAGATACAAGGATCTACTTTACTCACTTTGATAACAGAAATGAAAATAAAAACATTTTGGAAAGTAAGTGTACCCCCTACTACTTATAATGTGAATTTTCCAATTGTGGATAAATACTAATTGGACTGCAGTGAGCTCCAACTGTTCCTAGCAAAGTTTGGCATAAAAATATTTTTAATCCCTAACCCAGAAAAGTGTTCAAATTTTCTTTGTGGACAGTGCATTGCCAGCCCTAAGCAACTTTTTCTAATATTAGAACCACTGTACATTTTAGTAACTTTATATAATGATGATTTTCAAGTACTTACA